GTCAAAGTCACAGTGGTAGGGTGGTAACCGCAGCACAGTGACACCACATTGACGGGCCATCTCATCAGTCACGTAACTAATGTTCGCAGGTTTGTGCTGTTTAATTTTTTCATACAATTCCGCTTTCACACATGAATCGTCAAACGGGATTCCTTTTTCGCGCAACCATTGCTGCATGTCACTTTTTCGAGATCCCATAGTCGGTACACGTTCGGCTCGACGACTATGGTAGGAAGCATTATCCATGACGATTACAGAGTTGGGCTCAACTCGCTGAAGCACCCCTTGAAACCAGCTCTCGAAGCAGCTGGCATTCATTTCGTCATGGTAATCACCTCCTTACGTTACGATCAATCTTTGACCTTTCCCTGACGGTCCACGAAGACCTGTTGACAAACCTTCAATGCTTGCTTGTCGGTTACTCACTACGTTTTTGTCTATCCAGGTTTTTTTAACTGTGTGACCTGCATTTACCCATGTCTCGTCCAAATAATAGATTTTTCTGCTTTGTCGCCTATATTCAATCATTTCGCGTAGGTATTTTCGACGCCAGGCGACTATTTCAGGTCTCTCTATCAATACCGACTTCCGATTACGAGTTTCGTAACGAAAATTAATTTCGTGCAGGGATTTCCTCATTACCTCGACGCTCATTTGGGGTATAATTTCATTTTCCTTGATCGCTGCATGTACAGCCTTGAGGGTTGGTATCTCATTCCTAAAGAAGAATGAATGTACGGTTCGCCTTAACGCCATTTTGCTATCGTCATCCAATTTAACGGCCTTTCGTCCCTTCAAATTAAACTGTGGATCAGTAGTAGCTCCAGTTTTCTTCTTTTCATGCACCACCCTGCGAATGGTCCACTCTGGAACGCCTGTCATACTTTCACAACGCGCGAGTGCATCTCCTTGCGACATAGTTCTGTTCAGATAATAGAACACGTTGAGCACGATTTCTTTCGCGTCCCTCTTCAGTGCTTTACGAAGACGTCTACTTGTTCCCTGGCTTTCAGTACTTCCACTCGTGCCATTTGTACTCTCCATGGTTAAGTATAACCAAAACAGTAACCACAGAAACCACAACAATAACAATCACACAACAATTCTTATAAAAACACACAATATGCGATCGCTCAACGAAACACGTTCCAATGCGTTGCCGACGCTTATGAGTCTGCCGGTCGAGGCGCGTCTTTGATTTTATTGGTTCTACCGGCGGAGAACAATCAGCCATTATTTCCATCTCTGTCTGTGCTGTTGACCACCGCAAAGCCACAGAAACGACATATGTCGTACGCTATACGGCTGTACTGGAAGGAAGCCGGGATCGAGCTCTGATCACGTGTTGATCACGCGTATGAGTCATTACAGTCTTAAATAGTTGTAGTATAGTGGCCCATGAGAATTTGGCCGGACATCACCGAACGGATGCCAACCTTAGTTGCGCCATCTCTTGATATTCAGCTGTGTTTATATGGTTAGCTAGCCACGTGGCGATTGGGGCTACAGAGTTTATCAAAACTTTTTATTTAAATTCTTGTATGACAAAATGCCTGGCAAGTCAGTAAACGCAAACATCATCTTGCTGTTTTGGGCTATGACCCAAAAATGTTCATGAAAAATCGTCACGAGCTATAAACATGGCGCAGTGACAAATAATCTTTTGTTATTTATTCTATTATTACGCTAATTTCGACGTTCATTGCTTTTGTTGGAAATGAAATATCGAGGATGCTTCGGCTACTTGATTTTTATGATGATTGCACTGAGATGCGTGCCAAAGATATATAATAGTTTGCACGGAAAGCAAGCTACGCTTGAAGTGAGGGAAATTGAGTAATGCAAGATAAAATACTGTGTTTCAAAGATGCAGTAATAAGTAGGATGTAAAATTATCTTGAGAGAATAAAGATACAAAGTAACATTTTGAATGCAGGAACACTATTTTCAAAACTCTTTGCGAATATACATAATTTGCATTACTTAGACATGTTCACGATGCCATGTTCATGAAGCGACTTGAAGACACCTTTTAAAAAACTCGGAATACCATCTTAAATGGAAATTAGGCCTGTTACATTTCTGATGAATTTTGGGAATAGTAGTTACATAACTAAATCAAGTTTCCGGCAGTTGTAACGAGGTCTTAATTTTTTCCTAATTTAATTTCATAAATTAAGCTGCGTATTTAACATTCTCTCAAGATTTTAATTACAATAATATTCAATTTAGCTATAATTTCACCCAGTAACTTAACATGTGCACTTTTCGTAGACTTCACATAACCATACGATAAAGTAAATCGGAATAAAATAATCGAGGCCTTAAGATATTAACGAAGAAGACAGAAAATAAAGTCAAAGTTAACAACGAATTATCGGATTCCTTTGTAGTTAGAGAAGGAGTCAGACAAGGAGACCCACTTTCAATCAGTCCTGTTCAGTCTGTCTTGAAAAGATTATCAGAGATGCGAAAATAAATAGAGAAGGTTTACTGTATCATAAGAAACATCAATTGCTTAGCATTCGCTGACGATCTAGTCGTCATAACAGATGTGGGAAGGAATTTTGTGAAGTGACGAAGAGGCTGGTAGACAAAGCACTGTTAATGGCTTTGAATATTAATGAGGTATATCAAATGAGCAGAGGAAGAATTTACAAATGAGAGGTTACCCACATTTACCAATTTGATGAAGTAGAAACTTACACATATTTAGGAACTGTTTTTAAAAGGACACCAGACATAGCGGAAGAAATTCAGAATAGGCTGATGATGGGTAACCGGTGTGTTTACTCACTGAATCGACTGATAAAGAGGAAAATTGCGACCAGAAAGGCTAAACTAAGGTTGTATAAAACTATTATAAGACCTATTGTCACCTATGGCCGTGAAGTAAATAAAGTAGAACAAAACTAAATAGCTATTTGGAAGAGAAAAATCTTATGCAAGATATTCGGTGGGAAGCGGGAGTGCGGTGGATGGGTGCGGTGAACGAACAAAGAATCTCTGCCAATCACTTTATGGTGAAGCGGATATAGTTTAGAATTAATATTTTTGCAAATTACCGATCGGCTTAAATTCAGCTGTTTGGCTATGGTTGCTTATTTAAAGCTTGATCGTTATTTTAAAATAATCAAGTCTTTTATTTGCAAATTCAGTGTAATTCCTCTAGCTATGTTTTTGAAGTACACTTTACCAAATACACTCAAAAATAACACCTACTCGTATTCTAATCAACGACTAAATATAAACTAAATATTTGCAAAATGTTTCTCTACTTTTGCTCGTTGAACAAAAAACCGACCGATATTATATTGAAAAAAAAAACGAGCCCCCTCCGACTTCAGTTGGCCCAACTATTGAAATCTTAGTTTTTTTCCTATCAAACATAAATGATAAAAATGTAGCAGGGTGTTATAGGTTTAAAATATTAACAATCAATATTTTGATATTATATAGTAGAAAACACCAACTTTATCACTCCCTAATCAAATTTGCAGCATGAAAATAACACATGTCGCAATTACAACATATCAACCTATTTTCATTTCAATGCAAAAGAAGTCTATAACGCATAGGTGGCTGTGAAAAATAAAAGCCATGACAATTGTTTTTATTAATCACACCTGTCAGAATACGATTAAAATAGCTTTAGGTAGTTAAGGTTTTCAAAATGGGTAGAGGAAAAGTTATTAGTGAGAAAATTCGGTTACTGATAAGTAATTTTTTTAATTCTGGGAAACCAAACTCAGAAATTGCAACTTTGTTAGACTTATCGCGGTACAGTGTGAGAAATATTGTTAGAAGATATAACGTAACCGGTTCAGTTAATATTGAGCCACGATATGTGAAAAGAAGTAATACCACAAATGCCGACCGAAGAGCATTGAGAAGAATCATCGTGAAAAACAGGTGTGCCAATTATTTACAATTAAGTGCTCTGTGGAGTGACGCACTTGCAAGGAAGCATTCCATGTTGACTGTCTGAAGAGAAAAGTGAAATTTCCAGCATCTATTATGGTCTGGGGCAGTATGTCATCAAAAGGAGTAGGAAAACTTCATTTTATTGATGGAAATGTGGATACAAACAAATATTTGGCAATTTTAGAAGAATCCCTTTTACCAGTGATGGAAGAATGTTTGACATCCGGCCAAGATTTTGTGTTTCAGTAAGATGGTGCAGCATGCCATACCTCAAAAAAGGCTATAAAATGGATGGAAGAAAATAATGTACCAATTTGAAATGGGTTTCTAGCATTCCAGATCTGTCACCTATTGAAACTTTGTGGCACGAGATGAAAACTGAGACAAAAGCTTCAAGAAATATGGCATTGTTTTACACCAAATTTTTGTCAAAACTTGGTTGACACTATGCCCCAAAGAATTTCAACCGTAATAAAAAATAAAGGTGATGTTACCAATGGTAATCTTTCAAGTATTGCTTTGTTAACTTCGCGCATTTATTCGCACATTGCTTATTTGTTCAGATGTTCTATTAGTTATAGGTCTAAGTGATTTCAAATATGTATTTTTTACGACTAGAGCGTATCTAAAATGTTTTTGAGAAAATAAATTGTTTTAGAAGTAAATAGTTTCGTCATGTTTAGTTTATAAAGGCATATTTTGGTACAAATCTTGAAGTGGGCCAACTGAAGTAGGAAGGGGCTCGTATACAAAGATAAGCATTTCATTACCAGGTAGTCATACATAAAAATCTTTAGTGTACAGCTTTGGGTTAGAGTAAATCTTTCTGGATTTTTATTTGTTATGTGGTTTGTTTCTCTACTTTTGCTCGGTACTGTATATAGAACTTAGCATAACAAGCAGAAATGTCATTGCTATTAGATAAAAAATTGAAAACTGTACCTACTGCCGCTATATCCGGCTTTGCGTATGAGATGAAATTAACTGAAACTGGATATAAAGAGTTATTTGATTTCATCCATTTAGCTTAAAAATGTTAACATTTAGGCGATTTTGCAGAGTTTATATTGTTGCAGATGATTGCTGATTGTAGTGAAGGGCAGCAGGTACAAAACCGTAAACAGCTGTCAAAGTAAGTACTGAGTAAGGCTTCCCATTTTTAAAAAGTCTAAATGGTATAATTCTAGAAATTAGTACACGTAGATAAGTATAGATGTCTAACAGGAGACAACTGTGTAACTTAAGTAAATTCAAGAGCTGTTATAAGTCAAAACAACAGGCGAGAATACTCTAAATTTATGGATCGACGTACTTTTTTCCAAAAATTATCACTTCATGCCCCTACTAGGCATCTTCTAGTCTAGTGCATACAAAATCGAATGACCCTGTCATGATCCGTTCTTGTTATTTAACGCAGGAGAAGCGACTTTCAGTCGGGTTATCATCCGATAACTCCATAATTATGTCATTATAATAATTTAGAAGTCTTCATAGATAATTTGACAGATTAGACGAGGAATAATGTAGTCGTAATAGCTTACATTAAGCGGCTGTAAACACACAAATCTAAGAGAATTCTACCAATAATTTCCATGTTTTCGTTATATAGTGGGAAGATTAGGATGCAATAAAAAATCGATAAAGCTCGTAAATATTGGTTGAGCGGCGTTGAGTGAGAAAATGAATGGTGCATGTATGCTAATGACATTATCTAATTATGTGGGTAATTTTGAGTCGTCTTAAAGGTGTATCCAGATAAATACTTGCTGCATATAGATCGGTGATTCTCATAAACAGGCCCAACAATAACAGAAAATATACAATTCTTATTTAAACGTAGCACATTATACGTATCAAAATCGAAGAGGAGATATATAAGAGCTACATGACGGCTGAGCGTACCTGAGGAGAAAATGATATTTCCCACCTAGAAATATAAAGTAGCTTATGGACCGAATTACAAACGTATGTCCTAAAAGTTTTGGCACAAAATTCATTGGCCTTAATGTTAACAAACACAATAATATCAATCTGCCTTTAGAAACAAAAGTTTGTTCACTTATTTTACTGTCAGTTGACATTTGTTTATTTTGATGTGTTCGCTTTAAGATGTCGTATAAATTAGAAATAAGAAAAAGCATCTACAATTTGGTTGTTCGTGTACCCAAAGCTGAAATCTGTCGAATATTCCAGAATTAAAACATTTCAAGCAGAACCATTTATCGAACAATCGCGGAATGCGCGCAGGGAATACCATGTCTGAATCTCCCAAAAAGTGGAAGACCACGTGCATTTACTGCATAGAGGTCAACAAGGAGACTGGCTCCTCAATACCGATCTTCTAAGAGTACGATATCGTTGGAGCTGAGGAGGAATGGTTTTTAATTTGAGGGACTTAAGTGCCACAAATACTCTCAAGCGCAACTCTTTCGTATACCAAGATGCTGTCGCCAACTGAGGCGGGTACAGTTTGCCAATGGAAAAATCATTACTTTAGATGACCAAAAGTATTTCACTTTGAGTAATTCTGAAATGAAGGGAAACGTCGGATTTCATACGGACTAGACCAATCCCCAACAATGTTAAATACAAACATAAAACGAAATTTGCAGATAAAATCGTTGTATGGTGCGCAATTTCTAACAGGGGTGTATCCCAACCTTTTGTGGGAAATATAGTTAAGTATTGAGTTGTAATTTATGATAACCAGTTAGTGTTTAAGTAAATATCTTCATTAAAAAAAATCCGATAAATGTTTGGTGCCAAAACTTTTAGTACATACGTCTTTTCCCTTTGCTACTAAGTGAGCAAAGAACTTGGAACTGATAGTGCAAAGCACTCGAAGAAAATGATGGTAGGACCTTCTAGATTGGACCCCTAAGATTAAGTAGAACTGCGAATAGTGGTTTCTCGTTTCCCTGTGTCGGTATTCTTGTTCTTCAAAACGCAAAGCGTCTTGAAGTCGTTCAAGGAATACGACGCCATTTGCGCTTGTTTTCGAAGTGGCTGTAAGAATACGGTATTCCCGTTGGTTGCACGCTTGGCGTTTCAAAAAATTGATTGCAAACTTTAAAACGACTACTAAGTGGATGGCGTTTTGTTTATCGCTGTCTAGGTTTTTATGTATGCCTAGGGCGTTGGTTGTTGTTGATACGATGCTCTAGTAGTTTTTGACTAGTTAAATTCTCAGTATACGATAGTTTAGCAGTTTACTGGCGTTGATTTAAGCAGAAATGTTGAAATCTTGGACATATACTAAGTGACATATAAATCCGAACACCCAGTTTAAATGGTTTTATGTTAATAAAAGTTGGTGAATGTATTTATCTTACTGTAAATAACAAGTGAAAAAATTTTCTGCCTTATCAGTTGGACATTCCGGTTTTTATACTGCTTTTTCTTAATTCACTAACGCTCTAAAAATGAATATTTCAGCCGCAGTAAAGAATCAACGTTGGCGAATTTTGGTTCTTGACATCCTTTACGATCGGTTACGATGCCTAGAGTACGGAGACCTGTACGATTTCGTCAACTTAGTGAGTTTGATAGGGGCCGTATAGTGGGACTTCGGGAAGCTGGACTTTCTTTTCGGGCAATTGCAGTTAGAGTGCAAAGAAGTGTAGCCACTGTGGTTAGGTGTTGTCAGGAATGGCTTCGAGAAGGCCGTACGCAAAGAGCAAGGTTCACTGGACGCCGCCGTAGAACAACAGACCGTGAAGATCGCCGCCTAAGATGGGACCGTTTCTCCACTACCAGGTCCATTGCAAATGAATGGTTTGCAGAACACGGAAGACCTATTGGCATGCGAAGTGTTTACCGACGAATGAGAAGTTTTGGCTTGTTTTCATACCGGCTACACTGGGTCCTCCCTTTAACTCGAGAACACCGACGTAATCGCCTTGAGTGGTGCAGACAACGGTCACTCTGGGATCAGGAATGGAACAGTATTGTCTTTAGTGACGAGTCTCGATTTTGTTTAGGCATGCACGATGGTCGTGCCAGGGTTAGAAGGCGACGTGGTGAAAGGAGGAATCCACAGTTTTTTGTTGAAAGACATGTTCATCACACTGTTGGAGTTATGGTTTGGGGTGCTATAGCTTATGGTTCCAGGTCACCTTTAATCCTCATCAGAGGTAACATGAACGCGCAGCATTATATCCACGAAGTTCTAGAACCCCATCTTTTACCCTATCTTGACACCCTGGCAGATCCAACTTTCCAACAAGATAATGCCCGACCACATGTTGCAAGAGTCACAATAGACTTCTTTCAACATAATGATGTCACATTGTTACCATGGCCACCAAGATCTCCCGACTTATCCCCAATTGAGCACGTGTGGGATATGATGGGTAGGAGATTGCTCAATTTGCAACGTCCTCGTCAGACTCTAGAAGCACTTCGAGAGGAGTTGGTGGATGCCTGGAATGAGATACCACAGGAGGACATTGACCACCTGATCAGAAGCATGCCTAGGCGCGTTGGAGAATGCGTAGCACATCAGGGTGCATCCACACATTATTAAAGGTCAAAGGGCTTTAAAGCAGTGCAATCATTTTGAAATTTTTATCATTTACCTATTATGCTTCATTAACTACTTATACAAAATTTTATTAAAATAAAATCATTTAAACTGGGTGTTCGGATTTATATGTCACTTAGTATACATAGGATCGAGGCCAATGATTTTCAGAGTTAAACTATGTTAAGCTATATATACCGTCTAAGAAAACAGGATATGTGTGTCTTTAGAGGAAATGCTGCAACCATGTTTGCCAGTGTATTCAAGATCGCACGCGATAAGTAATCGGGCAAAAGTACGAGTAAATAGCAATAATGCGCCACATGTACCTGGACAAAAAAATACATGTTATAGTGATGAAGCAATGATGCTTTTATTATAAAATAATTAATTATCTAACCTACTATAATGTCAATTAGCAAAGCTAACCGTCATCAATATACAGATACTTATATGAATGTGACATTATTTTTCTAGATATTGCATTTCTTTGCTAGTGGAAGCTACCAACTTGACAAATCCAGAAATCATACTAAAACTCTCAGTCAGCCATCTGTCTCAACCGAGAACATGTTAGCATATTGCAAAAAGCACCGTTGCTAAAATGTGCCAGGTGAATTGAACCTGAGGCGTTCGCAAGGTGCAAGTCAGTTTCCTATCATGCTTTGTTGGTTGCAAAATTCCGAGATAGTCTGTAGACTATACTTTGAGAAGATGTGTGCTTAAGTAGCAGAGTAGCAAGATCACATCTGGATGGTTGTGCGTACTGATCTGCATGTGTAGAAAATCAGTGATATTTGCTATGTGAGAAAATTATTACTGAATACGCTGCCATGAAATATATATATCTATTTGCTGTGCCAGACGGGTTATTTGCATTGTCCTTTCTGAAGAGAGGTTATGTTCAAAGTTATACATTACGATTTTCCCCGGTTTCTATTGCGTTATTAAAAAGTTTGAAAAGCATTGCGGGAAATCAGCACCGCACCCGCGCTGTGTGTAATTAAGCTACATACCAGAAAAATTAGGAATATTGCATCACATACAAAACATTTTCGCAGACATCGAAAAATAAAATTCTATAAAATTTAAATGACTTAAATGACTGGAAATGAAAATTAATGTGAAATCTCATAACTTTTTTACGTTCCATAAATATTCCTGTATCATATTTTCTCACCTGTTTTAATATACTTCACCAACCAGACAATTTCTTTTATTATCGCTCTCTCTTCAAAAACCAACAAATTTGCATATGTAATTTCTAGCTTGAATAAGAAAAAGCGGATGCGCAACTAATTTTTAACTTAGCATACATCTCAAGTAAGTGTATTTGAGACAAGAAACCGATGGAATTATTATCAATACAGATTATTAGCACAAAAATCCTAACCACTCGCCTATGCAGTGCCGTTTCCTTCCAGCTATGGTATACAGCTTAGAGAATAATGCCATCTCTGAAGTAGATGTTACATCACATCAGAGGCAAACATTGATAGCTGAAGCATCATGACGCTTAGGCAACACGTACGCTACGGAACGAGTACACAATGTGCGACAGCTAGTGCTAAGTTGACATCTTGTAGGAGAACCTGCATCATATCACAAGA